CAAGGGAGGGAGGGGGTGCCAGAACAAGGTGGGGCCCTGGTCGCTGTCATTGGGGCGAGCCTCTGGTAGTTACTGAAAATTCTTTGCTCCTGAGTGCCTCAATGCCTGGCGCTGGTCCCAATCACTCAGCGTCGTCAGTGGGTGCGAGCGGCAGCTGCAGGCCCCGATCACCCCTCAGCGCTTCTCCACCTCCCCTTGCTCCTGAGGGGCAATTAGGCAGCCACTGCTCACACCTGCTGCTGGCGACAGCCCCACTTGCACCTGTTGCTGGTGCCAGAGCCGCCACTTGCACCCACTGCAAACGCCAGGCACCAGTCCCAATCTCTCAAGGCCATGAGCAGGTGTGAGCGGCGGCTGCCAGCCCTGATCACCCTGAGGGCTTCTCTACCTCCACTTCCTCCTGAGGAGCGATGGGGGCAGCAGCTGTCGCTCGCACCCGCTGCTGGCACCGGCCCCAATTGCTCCGCACTGTCAGCGGGTGCGAGCGGGGCCAGCACCGTCAGCGTGTGGGAGTGGTGGTGGTGGGAGTGGGGCTGCCAGCAGATGGGACCAGGGGCCGTGGCTGGAGGGGCCTGGTGGGGGCGCGGAGAATGGGCTGAAACCCATCCCTGTGCCCATTGCAGCCTCATGGCCCACAGTTCCTTTCAAGGTGCACAAATTCGTGCACTGGGCCCCTAGTAAATAAATAAAAACATGTTCTCAGAAAATGACAATTTTAAATATATTCAGAACATAAAAATGCAACATTTCTTCATCTGTATCTTCAATAAGAGTACAGTCTTGAGTAAGGCAGCTGTATCAAAGCAATTAGCTCTCCCTAGCTGGTTTGGCTCAGTGGACAGAGCGTCGACCTATCGACTGAAGGGTCCCAGGTTCAATTCTGGTCAAGGCACATGCTTGAGTTGGGCTCGATCCCCAGTAGGGGGTGTGTAGGAGGCAGCCAATCAATGATTCTCTCTCATCATTGATATTTCAATCTCTCTCTCCCTCTCCATTTCTCTCTGAAATCAATAAAAATATATATATATTTTTTAAAAAGCAAGTAGCTCTCAGTACTAGGTAATAAGTGATTGGATCAGTTTTTAAAAGAAGTGAAGAAAATACAACCACTTTATTTTTAAACATGATTACCTTGGAAGTAAAAAGACCTAAATATATAGTTCCCCAGATATAAAATGTGGATGCTTTATATTTTTAAAGTAATAAGGAATGTCCTGGTTGGTGTGACTCAGTTTGATTGAGCCTCATCCCAAACACAGGAAGATTGCCAGTTCAATTCCCCATCAGAGCACATGCCTGGTTTGTGGGCTCAATCCCTGGTAGAGGGCATGCAGGAAGCAGCCAATTGATGTTTCACACTCACATCAATGTTTCTCTCTTTCTCTCCCTCTCCCTTCCTTTCTCTCTAGAAAAATCAATACAAATCTTAAATACAAAAAAAATGAATAAAGGATTTAAAAACCATTTATAATCTTACCTAATCTCTCACTTTTAAAAGCAATACTGACCAAGGTGTTATATGCCCTGGAAATATGAGGGGAATTAAAACATTTAGGAGTGACGTCATATAAAATGTATGATGTTTATAGGCTGCAAACAGAGAAACTTGAGTACAATGACATGTTGCTTTCAACAGCAAGTCCCAATCTATATTCAATTATGTCAAGAATATAATCCAAGATAAATATCCAGTACCTATATATAAAAAAGAAACTGTGGAGAAAAAGGAAATTATGTTTTAAACACTACATTTAATGGTTTCTTTAAATAGTATTAAATCCTCAGGAAGAATTTATCACATGTTGAAACAGTTCAATGAATTTCTTCCAAATTTCTAGTTTGTCCTCTCCCACTTAGAACTATCTAGTATCTTTAAACACCACTAATAGTTTTTGAAAACAGCTTTACCTTTAAATTTTTTTATGTAAAATAAAGCACAAGCATAAAAAAAAATGGGTACATGGCAGACTCAACGCAGAAACACGAAACAGCAGCCATTCCAAAAGCTTTTCTATGTGCCCCACCCCAACACAAGTCTCTCCCTCCCTGGAAGTCATCATTATCCTGATGTTTATAGTAATCACCTCCTTGCATTTAAAAATATTGTTTTAGCACCCAGATATGCATTCCCTAGACACTATAGTTTAGTCTTGTGAATTATTGAAATTCAATGTCTTCTAAGTCTCTTTTTAAACTATAGGTTCCTCTTCTATCCCTTCACTTTGTAATAATTTATCTGTGAAAAAATCCAGGCCATTGACCTGACCTGCAGAGTTTCCCCAGTGATGAATTTCTAATTGCACACTCAGGGCTCAGGGCCACATGCCGTTCTGTGCTCTGTGTCTTCTGTTTCAATCCCTCTAGCAAGACTATGGACAGTGTCTGGCAAAATGAGAACAGGCACATCCTGTCTGGTTGTTGCTCTTCTTATTATCTTAGCAGCTGTCCACTGGTGGTTGCAAAATAATAATATTCTTTTTTTTTTTTAATTTAGTAGTTGGAATACTTTTATGAAGAAACATGCTTTGTTTACTCAGGTAAAGTCCATACAGTAAAGGCAAGACACATAATTGTTTACCTTTTTCAGTTTTTAAATAAGTTGGTCCTCTTCCAAAACTGACCACTTTTAAAAAATATATCATCATGAATTCATGGATTTAAATATATTTGAAGGGTTTTGATCCATAATAATTACCATTATTACTGAAACTCAAAGTGTAACATCTTTGGGAGTTCCTTCAAGTTGACAGTTTCCTTACTATTTAATATATTCCATGCTCATTCTTGTACATTTTGTGACCCAGATCTGTAATCTGCCATTTCTCCAAAAGCCCTGCTTTCTTTTAAGGAGCAAAGATATTTCACGAGACAGCTTTGCATACACCAGTACACAAAATATGTTGAGTTCATATTGATACTTCCTAGTCAAATTCAAGACTACAAAGCTTTCCAACATTTCTTATATAAGACAGCCACAAAGTAACTCATATATTAAACCACTGGAAAGATTAACACTTCCTTCTACATTAGAAAATTTCCTTCTTAGAAGGGCAAGCTGAAATTACAGTGAATTTACTGAACCTACCTTTCCCTCAGGCTTTTAAGAAAAAATAATTTATGTGAATTTAGAAATTCATGAAATAATAATCTTTCTACTGACAAGATAAAAAGTCATCTTACATTTTTAAAAGAAACTGAAGGAAACACAAAGAAACGGAGAGAGATTCTGTGCTCATGCATTAGGATCAATATTGTTAAAATGTCCATATTACCTCAAGTAATCTATGGATTCAATCAATCCTTACCAAAATTCCAATGGCATTTTTCACAGAAATAGAGCAAAAAACCTTAAAATTTGTATGGAACCACAAAAGACCCCTAGTAACCAAAGCAACACTGAGAAAAAAGAACAAAACTAGAGGTATCACACTCCCCAATTTCAAACTATATAACAAAGCTACAGTAATAATAAAAAAAAAAAAAAACAGCATGGTACTGGCAGAAAAACAAACACAGTCCAATGGAACAGAATTGAGAGTCTAAAAATAAACCCACACATATATGAACAACTAATTTACAACGAAGGAGCCGAGAATATACAATAGAGAAGAAAAGTCCCTTCAATAAATGGTGTTGGGAAAACTGGACAGCCACATCCAAAAAAATAAACTAGACCACTATCTTATACCATACACAAAAATTAACTCAAAATGGAGTAAAGACTTGAAAGATCTGAAACCATAAAATATATAGAAGAAATCATAGGCATGAAGCCTCTGGACATTGGTTTTAGTGATGATTTTGTGGATTTGACTCGAATAGCAAGGGAAACAAAACAAAAATAAACAAATGGGACCATATAAAAAATACAAAGCTTCTGCACAGCAATGGGAATTATCAACAACAAAAAGGCAAGCAACTGAATAGGAGAAATATTTGCAAATGATATATCTTATAAGAAGGTAATATCCAAAATATATAAAGAACTCGTATAATTCAACAACCAAAATAAGAAAAACAACCAACCAACTAAAAACTACATATACAATGGAATACTACTCAGCCATAAAAAAGACAGTATTGCCATTCGTAATAACATAAATGGATCTTGAGGATATTATGCTAAGTGAAATAAATCAGACATAAAAAGAACAAAAACTGTATTATTTCATTCACATGTGAAATATACAACAAAAAAGAAACAAACAAAACAAAGCAAAAACTAGGAACAACAGAATAGTGGTTACCAGAGGGGAAGAGGTGAGGGGAGGTCAAATGGGTAAAAGGGGCTAAATATATGGTGATGGATGGAATCTAAACTTTTGGTGGTGATGAGCACTCTAATATATATATATACTGAATTATAATGTTGTACACCTGAAACTTAAATAGTATTAACCAATGTTATCTAAAACAAACAAACAAACAAAAAACCCTAGCAGGCTTAAATAGTTAATGTTTGTAAAGTGCTAGCATACTATATGTGGCTCAAAATAAGTCAAACTATCATCACCTCCATCATCATCAATCAGTCTTATTATTTCTCTTGTTAATGTATTAATTCTACTACAACAAAAAACCCTAGAGCAGCACATATAAATCTCTTTTCAAAATTAAAAGAAAACAATTGTTTACCTGTATAGCAAAAGTACCAACTCCACCTGAAGCACCCAAGATTAAAACACTGCAATGCAAAAGAAATTACAATTAATGAGAACATTAAGCCAATAAAACTGGGTAAATAAACAAGATGTTTTCACCATGCAACTGGCTCAAAAATAAACAATCCCAAAAGCAAATAAAGTCATTCAGCTTCCCAAGATTCTATTACACAAGGATTTTTATTTTAAATACACCAGTAAGCTATAAGTACTTCAAGTTAGACATTCTATAAACTCTTTACCAAGAATACCAAATACCAAAACTATCAATAATTTGTCTTTTTTAAAGAAGCTCAGATGGCTCTTGGTAACATCTGACTTACAATTTTTCTAAGTTAAAATCACCATGGCTTTCTCTGTAAGAGAGAGAGTTCTGGGACCCTTTTTAGTGTGTTAGAGTAGACGCAGTTGCTCTCTAAGAAAAATACATTCTTGACCACATTCCAGCCAAAGTGGAATAAACATCTTTTGTTCACACATGTCCTGTCAAGCTCATCGACTTTCATAAATGGAAATCTCAGCCTCAATTTGGCTTCCTGTTAAAGCAGATGAATCTGTCCTATCAGCACAAACATTCTTGTGCTCCAGTTGTTACCATGTTTGATTACTGTAGCCCACCTGCAACTCTAGACCAAGGGTGTACATCAGGAAGAGTATGGCTGAGTGAGAGTGGGAGGGGGAAGAGTGTGAACCCTCTGAAATTGTGAATAGACTAAAACAATGAACAAAATTTGGTATGATTATGCATATGTATGTGCATTGGGGAGAGGAAACCAGACCTATTATCAATTTCCCTAAGAAATGAACCCAAAAAGAACCTCACTATTCAAGAATCACTGCTTTACATACTCTTACTAAATTTTATTCTTGACTTAAGCCAGGGCACCAGTGCATTACCTTTTTTAGACTGCAGTTTCAGGTCCCCAGACAATTGTTTGTACTGAACTGCACTTTGATGTTATGCTACAATATAGGCTGAGGGACATTATAGTGACAGTTTGATTTTTAATACTTTAGCTAAGGCAGTGGTTCTCAACCTTCTGGCCCTTTAAATACAGTTTCTCATGTTGTGACCCAACCATAAAATTATTTTTGTTGCTACTTCATAACTGTAATGTTGCTACTGTTATGAATCGTAATGTAAATATCTGATATGCAGGATGGTCTTAGGTGACCCCTGTGAAAGGGTCGTTCGACCGACAAAGGGGTCGCGACCCACAGGTTGAGAACCGCTGAGCTAAGGAGATACTGTTGAGGAAATTCTTCATGAGAATTCTCTTTAAGAGTGCCTATAAAAAACATTTTTCTGAAGATTAAGTGGTGGGAGTAGCTGTGCTTCTATTTGTCATGACATACTGTGTAACTGCTAGTTGTGGGTCCCTCTTTGCCTTGGCTGCTAGGAAGTACGGAGAATTTTGCCACCTGTCTCTAGCAAGTACACCAGAACTTAGAACATGTATTCTGTCTACAATCTTAACCCTAGTTTCATTTTAGTTTTTTCTCTCTTACCCAAATTACAGAAGGCTGGTTGTCACGCATTAGATCAAGCATGTCAAACTCAAAGGCTAACATGGGCCAAATAAACAAGGTTTAAGTTTATGTGGGCCGCAAAAAAACAAAAGCTTCAATTTTCATAGAAAC